GCTGGTTCTGGCTCGGAGCCGAAGGGACCGAGCGCAGAAGCGCGAGTCGAGCGCCAAAGGCGCGAGCAATGTAGGGGGGTCCGGGGGCATTCTCCCCCGGGAAATTTTGTATTTTTAAACCTTCAATGACACATTTTCCTGCACTTTGAAAGGCAAAATTAGGCGTAACGAAGAATTATTCATTAACGCTTAACGCTGAATTTAGGATGACAAATAACGTTTTACGTTGAATTAAAAGGACCAATAACGCTTCACGAAGAATATACCGATAACGCTTAACGCAGGCCGGCAACGATTAACGGTGAATTAAAATAGCCCATAACGGTTAACGAAAAAGGGCATGCAGACCCTCTTGTATTGATTACAAAAGCACAACATAATGGCTAACTTAAAATGGGACAAAAGTAAGAAAGAAAGAGTAGTATCTTTTAAACTATCTAAAATTCCTTTTTCGTGGCATAAAAAATAACCCTAAATGTAATAATTATAGTTGCTTAAAGCAATTAAAGCCCCAGCTATACTAATTGAAGTTTTGTATTAAAAAAAACTGTGGAAATAATTGTAAAAAGTTATAGTATATAAAAAAGCTCTGAAAGTTAGAATTCAAAAGGTGTGTACATTATTGGCCTTCAGTGGCAGAGACCCATTTGGTTCTATTGTTAGAATGTAAGGACCCAAAACAAGCAGCTGCAGTGCCCTCATGATGGGGCCCATAAGGCACACTCGCCCATCAATTATTGAGGGTAATTTCACAGCTGATTGGTCATCTGTTGATTGTCCTGAGAATGACAGGCAGGCTTTCATCAGATCTACAGCTACCCATGTGGATATTGAGGCCTTTCTGCCTCTGATGGCAGTATGCCAGTACAGGGCTGAAGTCTATCTGCTAAATCTTAGACATTTAATCCTGTAGCATCATGTTGCCATAGCAACCTCCCCCCAGTGCACACCATGACACTCACCATGACACATTTATAGACATAAGGGTCCTGTCAATTTACTAGTGCTGTTGAAAATGAGGTTATACGCAGGGTGACCTTGTATTTTCTTTGTTTAGAGTGGCCAGTAGGTGGGGCAGGCTAGTCTCCACAGTGTGAGGCTAATGCTGATGAGGGAAATGGTGCGTGCGTGTGGCAGAGAGGATGCTGACAAAATGGTGGCCACGCGGCGAGAGTATTATTGTAATAAATCGAAATTCACCGAGAGAATAAACGACCTATGACTTACCCTGGTCTATTGCTGTCCTGTAATTTCAGCCAGACACTAAGTGTAAAGTCGCTGTTCGGTCCGAGCCTGGGTGGGGAGGGGGGCGAGGCGAAGCAAGGCGAGCTGTCCCTGACTATGTAGGCGGGGGATCCGGGCTGCGCTCCCGGGCGCACATCGCTGGTGTCCTGGGTGATGCATGCTCCCGGGGCGGTCAGCAGGTCCGTAGGGGCTGGAGTAGCTGTTCTCCTAGGACACTCCTGTATACAGCCGTCCTGAACGGGACAAAACTGCAACGCCTCCATGCCCAGTGGTCTACAGTGCGAAGAACGTCCCGCAAGCCCACAAGTCGCCCGCGAAGGGTCCGATGAGATGGGCTTGTTCTTCCCCACATTTTCCAGCC